CTTGAAACTCAAAAGTTATATCGGAATTCGGTAAATATTCAAGATTCCAAACATATTTCAACACAAAAGTGTCTGATCAAAGTAGAATTCAATTCATGTTTTTGAACATTCAAATGGTTCCTAAAATATTAATTCAACGTCATTTGAACAAAGAATACCTGCTTCAGTAGAAGGATACATTCTGTTGGACGTCGAAAAAATTCATTAAATGCTTGATCCTAGCTGCAATTTCATCATCGTAGAAGGCAATTTCGTAAAGAACAGGCTTCATACCTACTGTAATGCGACTGATCTTTTTCATCTTAGACAAAACTGTGATGCAGTTTTGAAACAAACAGTAGGAATCAGCTACTTGCTGATGACTCCCAACAAGCATGGCGATCAGGTAAAGGAGAAATGGCTTCCAATCGCTTCTAATCAACTAACTTCTCACATTTTCAATGAACATTCTTTGGTTGAGCATTTCTCAACCATGAATAACTCTTCATCAAACAGTTTCCTCATATGATTCAAAAGCTCTCTAAGTAGATACATTTTGTTGCTCATAGACCAGTAGTTTTGAAAGTCTGAATAAACTGTATTCAAAGTAATCCTCCTATGAATATAAGTTTTAAGTTTTTCATCTGTATCACGCTGACTATCACCATTTAGGAAATGAAGGGATTGTTATGCTCATAATCCACTGTATATTCAATACCAAGGGATCCTAATAAGGAAGGGGGAAACGTCATAAGAGAGCATGAATTTATTCTAAATATTTATATTTTCTAACTGAGTGAGTGAAACGAATAGTGTCTAGCAAAGTAGGGGCATCTAACTTAACAAGAACTGGTCCCAAATGGTTTGCTTACAATCACCAAACCATATAAATAGGGTTGCTGTGGATTAATTTCTCTCACAAGAGTGTTGTATTGTAGAATAACATTCCCAAGATCATAAAAGCATGAAATTCCCCGCGGCTTCTTGCAAATAGGCGTATGGCACTGGACTTTCGGAAGAACACAGACAGCAAACACTTTGGGTGCACTTTGATATATTTGGGCAAAAAACGGTAGGAAATATTTAGATTGTACTCTAGACGATCCATCCTCGTTCTCAAACAAGTCTAGGATTAGTTTCAAAACTTGCAAAGTTACCAAATTTGACCAAAGTTTCTTTTGAATGTTCCGAAATTTCTCATGTCCCCCCAAATCTTTTACTTGAAAGTTCAAATAGTTCCGAAGTCTGCTCAAACATTTTAAACAGCATTTTCAATGATTTCAAAGTCCACCTAAAACTCTTGTACAAAAACTCCTAAAGTTCCAAAGTCCTCTCAAAACTCAAAACCGAAATTTAGCCGCAACTATAAACGTCCAGTATTTCGCACTAAAATCTCAAGCACTTTAAACCACATACATGACAGCTGCTTGCAGACTAAGCACTCAGTCTACACACATGCAAATTCTATGGTAAGGAAAACCTTCAATTAGAATATTATGTTAAGAAATGCAGACGTAAGAAATAAAACGCGCTTTTAAACAAAACAGGAATTTTATGTACATTTCCGTTTTTATTACTCGCATTGCTGATTACATGTTAGTCCGCCTGCTGCATATTCTTCAGGAAAGGTAATATGCACGTACTTTTGGCGTAGTCTGATGCACCTCAATGAGTAGCCACCTCCTGGTCGTAACACTCCGTATGCAGCATCTAAGAAAGTTTGATTAGTATAAAAATGCAAACACACTATCACCACGCTGTAAAGTCTCTTTTCTTACTGCCGCATCCTATAACAGATGTTGTGAAAACATTTCTGGATGCCGGATACTATTCTTTCCGTCGTAACCTCTTCATCTTGACTGTTGTGCCTGTAGCAGTTGTAGGTTGACATCTGTAAAATTGGAAGAACCCCAAAGGCAACTTATTTCCTATGATGTTATCTTCTTAAAGTCTTTTCATAGCAGTTGATGACCGGTAAAAAAGCCTACTATAATTAGGACAAAACATGAGGTTCATAATTCACCTAACTCTCACTCCTGTGTCTGAATTGATCAATGGTGTCGATTCACCGGCGACAACTTCTCGAAACGTAGAGTCAGTTGACTACATGTCAAGCTACTCCAGCATGGTGTCCATATCCAGTTGCTGCCAATCAGATAATATAATTTTTTTCGACAGATCAATGCCTCCTAGGTCTCTCCGAATATTAATCGTCTCAACCTCCATGTTGATACTTTCCTCCAGTTTCGTCAAATGTCTCCCAAATTTAATTCGATTTGAGTCAATTAATATTGAAAGGAAATTGTTCACAAAGCATTACATCTATACTTCGGCTTGATTAGATTTTCTTTGACTAATCCTAAAAGGCAATGATGTGAAATGCGTTATGACATACCGTTTATGCATCGAGTACTACCCGAGGCACCTGCTTCCATCTCTATTAGCACAGTGTGATTGTGAAAAGCTCGCTGACGAATCTATGGATGACGAATTAGTACGAAATGATGCTTCAAACATGAGTGTTGTCTTATAAAACGTGGAACCTCAACTAGTATGCGGAATGTCGACATAGTGAAATAGCAGCTGAGATGCTCAAAGAATCAAGGGAAATAGTTCATTAGTCCACTAACCTCCGCGGCTTTTAAACATACATTCAAAAAGACGTCATGCACTTAACCGGTTCACCCCCAGCAAACTAACAGCCTCAGTATTTTCAGTTGATGAAGACTGTCAGTTGCTCGGAAGCAAAGGCCTAGAAACAACCAAGGTCACTGTTAATATTTAAGTAAACAAATGCATGTTACATTTATTCTTTGACGTTCCAATAGACCTTCTGATTTTTCACCACCGTTTCCATTTATCGAGCAACTGAGCAACCATCAACGAGTGGAAACTGAAGATTATTGTCCAACGATCCACTCTCATATAAATCTTTATATATAATTCACGTTATACCAGGTAGTTACTACAAAGACAAAAAAAGTGACAGCAAGGTTATGACAAAGCGTTTTTCTAATTTTTTCACAAATTTACTTTTCCTCAGAGTCAATCCCTGATAACTATTTCCCATCCTTTTCTGCAACAATATTCGCCTAATATTCCAATAAATATTCAAGCTTTCTCTCAAATACTTATCGATCACCTCCGGTTTATCCACTTATAATAACATCATTGTTACCGGTTGATCCTGTCAGTAGTCTCTTGAAATCTTGCCATCCACGAAAGTACTCAGCAGGAAAACAGAGCCATATTATCAACAACTCAGCCAGCACAATCAAATCAGAAACTCAGTCCCTAGATATGTGGAGGTGATTCAATGATTCCCTACTATGTCAAAGGCCGTTTCACATTCATAGACCACAAGTCTGAAAAAGTAACTGTCTTCAAAATGCTTCAAAACAACGACGATCTACAAGCTGATAGCGGTAAGAAGATACCAGAAATAATGGATCTGATAAATATTTGCTCATCTACACACTCTTAGTTTGATGCAGAGATAGGGGAACGAGATGTAGAAACTACAGTGGGATCACTAGTCTTGCGAAACAATGCTCAGGTAGTCATGCAACGGTTGGAGACAATAATCCTGCCAGTCATTGGATTAGTATTGAGTGTGATTCGTATACGACACAAGCGTTGTCATTAATAGAAATGATACTGAAACTAACCAAGAACAAATCACTAGTGTTTTCCAGAGAAATAAATTCATGAGAAGAAGAAGAAAATGAGAGACATGACATTCTGAGAAATCTTGACCATAAAATTTACGACGGATAGCTCAGAACTTAAGTGGGTAGGAAATTAACTCATACAAACCTGATGACAAACCATTACAGCGATAATTCGACGTTGCGTAACAAACGTTTTCAGACGAGCAGGTACAAACTGCAGTAATACAGAACCTAAGAGATCTGAAAAAGCTTTACCTGGGAATCTTCAAATCCACCGCAATCCTCAGAATTTCATCTAGAAATTTCTTTATAAATGAACACAGTTAAAATCTATCACAAAATCTAACAGAATAATCGTTCACCAGTACATGAACAATATCTCAGTGACGACAGCCAGATTGCCAGATACATTTAAAATCACAGTAACATATTGAGAATGCCACATTTCATATGCAAACAAAAGAAACGGTAAAAGGACAAGAAACAACCGACTTTAACTTCAGTCACTTGCAACGATTTCAAACACCACCAAGTACGACAGTCAGGTAGACCAGGATTACAACTCCAAAATAAGTGCAAGCCAGCTGTCGGACTTCATGATAAGACTATTCTCTTCTTCATACACCGACAACTACAAGCAAACATCCGATCGTGACAACATTTGACGAGTGAAGGTGCAAACTGGAAAGCGACTTGAGGATTCAAGAAGACAGGACAATCAAGCAAATCGACAACAAACCACCACTTATGACCGAACACAAGAAATGAGTCTTTTTTCAACAAATTGGTGAAGGGAATCAACCAACACAAATGCAAAACACTCGACGGAAAAGAGAAGTACGCAGTAAATTAGATAAATTGACACATTGGTTGGACACTGGAGGGTAATTAACTTCATGTTGTCTAATCCTTTCTGCTGACCGGACACTATCTAACATTTTGTAATGTAGCAACCAGAGTAGGCAGCTCAGCATCATGACGCAATATGATGGATCTCACTACCGTCAACCTGAACTGTTGTGCAATAAAACTGGGGGATTCATATTCAGTCACCTGCATACAAGTGAGTGAATGCTAAACGAACCTTCCTTCAACATCCGAAGAAAGCACTACATTTCCATCGATCATTGACAACAATGTCAGATGAGAATTTCGTCAAAATGCGAATACACTGTCCATAGTCTACATTTGTCAGAGATCTCCAGTTCACTACAGATAATATCACTACAGCTATTTGATAAGTCACACCATTTGGAATTCACCTTAGCGTTTAGCGTGAATGCATTCACCACGAATCTACCTTGTGATTGATTGGTCGACAATGATTTGTAGACGCGTGGTAACAAGAAATCCAATTCGTTGATATATTTGGCCAATAGAAACCGGTTGAGAAATTTAGTAGATTTAATTTGAATGATGGTGAAAGTGTTGAATCAGACTGTCGATAATTTGTGAGGTAAGACTGAATAATACTATTTCTGTGATTTTGTGTGCTGCTTCAATGCATCTCAGTCTTCACATCCTCTTCCACAACTGATTTGTGAATGAGGAAACTTCTGAAATCGATTCCTCACACAGTCTTTCAGGAATGTGAGTGTGGGACAATGCATAACTTGACTGCCGAAACGTTCAGTGATATATGAGGATGTAGTGTAGAAGTGAACTTAAAAACATATAGGTCACTGCCGATTGACTAACATTATTTCATTTTCACCGACCAATATATTGGACCATATTGACAACGTCTACAATGTGGCCACCAAACTACAAGACTACCCATAACATTGAGCATACACTGGATAAACGAGGTGTTAACTGTGAGCTAATGCATGTATGTTCATCTGTGGATTTCTGAATTGTGCATAATCTGTTTGCCACTCAACTGGCATCTGACTTATTGTGAGTATCACGAAGAAGAAGTCAACGAATGTCTGATGAATAAATTTGTGAAAGTCATATTTAGCTCCCAAAGCAAATGCAGAAAGCAGTTTTCATGTAGTTAGACGATTGGTGCTGACCACGAAGCTCACGTGGCCTAAACACCACCTCGCTCCACACACACTCCCTGCCTTGACCCTTCCATTTCATAGCATTTCTTCCACAATACATTATGTGTACTGAGTCAACACCTCACAAATAGAGAATTACATGTGACGACTGTGGAAACAGTGTGATTGCGGAAGTGCAGCATTTCAACCATATCACGCTTGATATCTTCTTATCCTTGTTAATCTGTGCAGCGAAGCATTCTCAATATATGAATTTCTGTGAGTGGTTAGTGAATACCGATCTGTGGATGAGTGGGATATAGGTGGTAACTGAAAATGTGAAGATGGTGAAGAGAAATAGACCCACTCTGCAATATCATATGAACTCGTGCCTACAACCTTGCAAAAGAAGTAGCAATAGGTGACTGTGGAAATGAGTTCCAAGTATGCATTATATACTAGTTCCGTGTTACTGCATTTCAGGTTGTTTCCAGAATCACATTTGAACCACAAGGACAGACAAGCGAAATGACTGACTCATTGAAATGTAAGCATGGAACTGACCGAGCTTGATTGCCTTAGTGGAATATGTAAAGCAGTCTGTTACACAGAGAACTTTTACGAAACTGGAGCTCCAGGTAAGACAACTGTGATTTCATTGAATACTCTTAAATAGGTTATTGTACTACTGATTGTAGAAATCTTCATTTCAGTGGTGACGACATTCGTTGTACTTTATTTGTATGCTTTTGTTTTATTTTCATCCCATTACACTTATATACTGATTAGATTTAGGGAAATAGTGGAAACTTTGATAGAACAATTTACTTGGAGTAAATTGGTGTTGGTGTAAGTTTGAGTGAAATTTTCTCCGTCATGAATTTCTATGTAATTTCGTAAATGAATCTCATCAGACAATTTATCACTATCAGATCTGAAATTCTAAGTTCACATGCTGTCTCCCAACTGATGTAAAGTAACTGGAGAAGTGGCGTTCATGTAGTATGGATGATGGTGCAAACAGAATACACTGGTATGCAGATGAACGTCAGCAACGTCATCTCTGGTGCTGACGTATGCTGCAATGAGAATTAGAAGTGATATCTCATTCTTCTTTCACTTAGTTTACTCATGAAAATGCTATAAGTTTCCTCTCCAAAATACAATGTGCAACTGATAAGTGACTTGCGAAATTAAATAAATAATTCATATTCCATTATCCTAATAGCCTCCTGCTTTAAATTCAAAGGCAAACACCGAACATCCCAAAATCAGATTCCTTGCAGTTTTGTATGCAGTATCATTCACCTTGTCATCATTTCGGAGATAGAAAGCAAAATGAATCACACTACACCACAGAAAAAAACTCCCGATTTCCAATGCCCCAAACAGATCACTCCATCAAATCAGAAATGTTGATCTTACTCATCGTCATAATTGTAGTCAGTCTCACAATTCGACTTTCACCAACACCATGTTTCTCCCTTAATATCTAGATTACTTGGAATATTTCTCGGTCTGTTACTGGTACTGGTCAAGCCTTTCCAACATAGGAAGCCACTCAATTTCTTCATGTTGTTCACAACTGTAAGTGATGAATACCTTGATATTTCATGCAAGCGTAAACATCTTGTCTCTGATTCTGTTCCACACTAGCATATATCACTATGTGCCCATCGAAATGCATTATTCATCTCACCTTGGAAAAACATGAACAATGATCTTTCCTAACTCATCAAAACTTCCTTCACTTCGTTTTCAATCTAGGTGACAGTATTAACTTTGGGAGTTGCACTGCTCCTCACAGGTACTCCAGCAGTGCAAGTGTTGGCTTCTTGGGTGATCACAATTCTCATCGGTGGATTGTTGCTTGCTATCGGATTTTTCGGCAACTTCGATATCACACAATGGATAAGAATGTATTTCATTTACGCTGCGGTCATGTGTTCTCTCACTGCAGTTGGAGAGATAACGTTTTTCATTGTTCAGTGGATAAACGTAAGTTTATTGTGCCCCACAACACTTTCTGAGAATCCACACTGAATAATGCTGAATTTGTTGCAATCCCTCGTAGCTTTCCTGTTGCAGGTGAGTAATGAACAAGAGTGAGATATGCTTCCTTGATAAATATTGTTGATACGACAGTCGACCAAGATTGTGAAGATGACTTCACATGTGCAATTCAGCTGATCAGCCGTTAAACCAGACAACGTGTTCACGCATTCATTTCAAAATAAGTGAATTTCGGAAGTTGTCTACCATATGCTAGTGAGGCTAACACTCCATATCCAAGTGGCGTCTCTCTGTAAACATTCATCTGCAAATGATTACCGAAGTCATCAAGAGGTTATTAATGCCACACCTCAGAAATTTCATGAAAACATCAGCTTGTTCACTTCCGAGGAAGTTCAGTCAACTACATCTCATTTTGTTTTACAATACTATTATCCTAATGTGTTTGAAGTGAACAATGTGCATAGAAGTACTGAGTAAATGGAGTATATGATTATTCAATGATCTGAGAGTTGTCTTCCCTCATTTTCATTTATTCATTTGATTTCAGGAAGCGTTTCTGTTGCAGGCTGTGTCGATTGCGTTAGCATTCCTCCCAGTAAGTATAACCATTACATTTTACAAAGTTATCCTCTCGAAAATTTCTAACCGTTAGAGCATCTACTACCGATACACACAGATGCACTGCATTGCCACTGTACATCACTAATGGATCACTGCCTATGCATACACGAGTGGTGTTGTGTTGTGTGAATGAAATTTGTGTTATGTGGTAACACTTAAATGTGCTGGCCGGTAGTTCAGTTATTGAACATGTTCACATAAGTGTACTCCGTCTCAGGCTTCTTTGACTTCTTGACAAAATGCTCTCCACATCTCCTCAGAAATGCCAACTTCATATCGAAAGAAACTACTGTCGATAGTGTTGTCTAGAAATAGATCGATGCACTGGTATTTACACCACTCAGCTGATACAACACAACACCATCAAGGCTACTCACCTCATTATAATACTGATTACCAGACAGTTTGATAATGCAAATCGTGGTAAATTTCGGTTCCCAACAATCCAATCAAGTGGACATACGTCTAACTGAGAATTGCTGAGTGGTAATAGTTTACTGATATGATATATTCAAGCTGTTGAATAGTTGAGATTTCGATTTGTCCTTGTGATGAAACAAAATGAAGTGGGCAGTAGGTGTCGAGCTAAATCTACCTGCCTGGTTCATCAGATTATTTGTCAAGGCTAAGAAATTCTGATTCCACAACAGGTCTCTCCTCGAAAACAGGAGAGGCACATCCACAATGGTTTCGTACAACTTGCATTCGAGCATTTAGATGAGCGGTTTACGTAAGCTATCAATTTCAACGTACAATAGTAGACAGTGTCAAGACGGGAGATGTTTCGGATGAGGAGTGAAAGTGGTAGGTGATTGGATTGCATATGATCTGCATGAATTCTGAGTTCTCTCAGAAATGCTTGGTGAGCCACTTGAGAATGCGTAGAGTAAAGATATGAGTAGATGACACCTGAACACTATGAAATCACTAACGATAATAATCGACCTTCTGTATGACTGCTAATGCGAGTGACACTATCACGAATTAAGAGCGAAAGTGCACCTGTCGGCAAGTAATAAGTTCCCCTTCTTCTATTCGAACCATGGATTGCATGCTGGTCATCAGTGTGAAACGGCTGTATCATTTAATCACGAATACTACGACTCTAATTCTGACTCCGATTCACAGAATTCACTTTCATGAAGTCACCTTACCCGACTGACATATTACAGAATCCTGCGTGATTCTTAGCCTCCAAATTCCACTCCTTCACCCACTAGATTACACATGTAAACAATGCATATAATTTCGGTTGTCACGAATCGCAGATGATGTACTCCATTGTATCTCCAGTTTGATCTTCATAACTTCTACAATATGACTTGACTAAATATCTGTGAACAGAAGTAATCACACAATCAAAACAATAGAAGAGTGGAGGAGACAAGATTGCAGATAATCACTCTTCTACAAACAGCATCACAATTGTCATCACGCATTATACTCAGATTTCTGACTGATGAACCTGAAGAGATATTTGGTGATAGCAGTGAATGTTGGCACAGATTGTTGTGGGAGTAAATTTCCACCTCCATCGCTTACTGTATTCAATGCTAATTATTATACTGTTTCTCCTACAGGGAATGGTGTTTGCAGCTCAAATGATTCAGGATGGGAAGAAAGTCGTGTGTCCACCTAATCAATATATAGTGGCAGCCTTCGCAATCTGGTGCATTATAATTGTCATCGAATATGGATTTGATGTTGGAATAGTTAGCATCATTTCAATATGGAGCAGTACCACCATGAACAGTACAACTTTCAAATTTCTCTACAAGCAGGCTGTATTACATACATAAAATTAGATAGCTGATGGCTTACTACGAAGTGAGAAAGCGATAGATGAATCTGATGCTTGAGATACTTTCGAAATATATACAATCCATTACAAAGAGGTGTACTCAGATAACTATCTGTTAAGTAACCGATAAAACATGTTATTATACATTGAGTAATTCGAATAAATATACTGCATATAAAGATATGACGTTTTGTGAAGATGCCACTGTCGAAAAATCAAAATGGAATTTTTCAGTATTCAGTTGATCAACAAAGTTCCTGCAAATCATTGTATCCCACTAAACTCTTCCTAATTAGCTTCAAAATGTGGATTCCAATCAGGAGAACCAGATGAATAAAACAATTGAAACAAGTAGAGATTAAGCTTTGATTGAAAATGAAATAACTGAACACTTCAACATCATGTCCAGATTCAGATTCAGATACCTCTCATCGACATGAATGTCGACATATAACCATGTAAGTATTTCAGTAAATTACTGCCCACACTGTGAATGGAAACTGGCAATCAATGTTGTAATCAACCTATCCAGCTATCACAGTTCACGATGAAAATGAATCCTGTACCTGTGACAGTGTAGCGTTTTGTACAGAATGATAATTACTGTTCTCATTACTGCTGAGTTGACAATTACCACTTCAGTTTGTACAGCGAATAGGTAGTGTACAGAATGCATATGAAGAGAAAGCAGGTGTTTGACTGCTGACTGGTTAGAGGAGGTGGGAAGCTGGAAGTTACCATTCACCACCATTAGAATCAAGGTAGCTTTCCATCTGTCTCCTCTTTGTTATAGTGTACCGCTAACCAGTGAAATATTTGTGTTGCATAAAGTCTAGTGATTTACACCCGAACTGTCCATGTCGATTCCAGGCCAGAATAACCACCCTATTCAAGTCGACTCATTAACTCGCACGGTTCAATTCTCAAGTTGACAATGAAACTTTACATTTCCACTACAAGTATTGCTGGGAATTGTTCGCATTCAGTGTTTCCGCTAGATATTAGAATTTTCTGGAATACTGAGGGACAACTTCAAACACACACCAAACTGCCGTGCCTTCTAGTCGGTTAGCGGAATACAAAGGTTAGATAGATCTGCTTAAAGGACAGCAAAGAATTAGTGCACAACACTATCAGGAAGAGTTATTCTGATGTAACCATTGTGGGCTCAGATGAGATGCAATGCAGGAAGTGTCTTCTTGCCTGTGAAAATAACTTATGGTTGTGTCAGAAAATACTGTCGATTAACGTAGTGAAAACACATTAGAATGCATGGTATAACGCATTGCTTTTCATGGCTATCTCTGTGGAATACTCAGGATTACACACCTACAACCCAGGAATGGTTCCAATGCAGGACCTTCGAGTGTCTTTGCAGGCACGTTAACTGTGCAGTCACTGAGTGGGTTTTCAGTGTTCCACAGTTCCCTACTTCTGTTAACTAGTTATACAACACAACTGTAATCCCAGTTCATCTGTTGGTATCAGCTTCACTTGCAAATTGGTTGTCATGATCTGACAAATACGCTCATTAGGTGTATTTTATCCTAACCAATCCTCGGTAACTATATGTGAAGCTGGAGTAGCTGGATAAGTGGAAGGGTATGTAGATGAATGGAGGAATATGGGACTGATTGGAGGAAGTTCTCGATGAATATGAAAATAGGTGAATAGTGAGTGAAATTGGAACGCTTTATTTATTGGACAACTTGAACGTCACAAATGGTGAAAACTATTAATATATGCATGCGAACCACTTGCCAATGCATTCCCTATACTTCATCTCGAAGTTGATGGAAACCAATTTCCGATTTCGCTCCTCTTCTCAACAGTGCGGAGTCTAACAGCTCTATGTAGTGTATTACTTACTCGATGAAAAACTCTGAATACTAATTGCCAACATGGCAATGAAGTCGTCGTTAACTACAAGGCTTTCCAAAGTCGCACAATTCAATTGAGGTACAGAATTAATTACATCATGAATAGTGTGGCTTGGACAGGTTGATTAGAATATTGGTAGCCGATTTCCATTCACAGTGTGGTCAGTATTTTACTGAAACACTAACATGATTATTTATTGATATTCGTGTCGATGAGAGATGCCTATATCACGATGTCGATATGATGTTCAAGTGTTAAATTATTTCAATTCGAATCAAAGTTCAATCTCGAGTGTATCTTATTGTTTATTTGAGTCTGTTATCTTCTTTGGTATTGCGACGACCCTTAAGTGTTGTAGACACGCAGACTCACAGCAGACACATGCAGGCAGAAGAAGAACAGGAATCACGCAGTATCGTCTTTATTTGGGTCGCATCTTGAACTCAACGGGTCCCATACAACTCTCAATCCAAACAAAGATTTTATACTTCCTCGTCAATGTTAAGTTTACGTGTTTGCTGTTCCACTTCTCTTAACTGGTTTGCTGTGTTGTACCCTGAAAAAGAAAGAAAGTAAACATACTCAGTGTTATCAATAAGGTTTCGAATACGTTGCTTCACCCCCCTCCTTTAGAGGCACTGTCCTCACTGCCTGGTTCTGGAATCACGTATCCATATCCGCCTCCAGGTGGTACTTCATAATGATGAGTCGCTGGCGGTGGATGACACAGGTCCGTTGACATCTTTTGCGTGGCGGTTCGGAATGCCTTCAGTTGGTTGTAATATACAGTGATGGCTGTTTCGATCGATCGATGTAGATGACGTATAATGAAGGTGGTAGGTGAACGGCAGCGGATAATGTCACACAGGCCCTGTCAAGGGGAGTAGAACTTAGGGCATGCATCAGTCGGGGCTGCGGGACGATGGAGCCAAACCTGGTCACCAGCAGCATACTGGTCCGCAAACGTTTCTACCGTAAGCCTCTTTTTGGTGGTGCCTGGATGGAGGTTGTTGTGCTTGCACCAGCTGGTAAGCTGTTGCCAGTCGGGTCCGAAGTTGGCGGATGTAGGTTATGTGGTCCATGCTCTCATAAGGTAGCAGTGAATTCTGAAGTTTGACAAGGAGGCGGAGTTCGTGTCCGAACAAGAGTAGAGATGGTGAAAAACTTGTAGAAGAATAAACTGATGAATGATAAGCCAGGAGACATTGTGGTATGGAGTCATCCCAAGTGTCTGCGGGTGTCTGGTGAAGAAATGCGCGAAGTAGTCTATTGATGGTTCTGTTGGTGTGCTCTACTAAGTCATTGCTCTGGGGGTGGTATACAGTAGTGTGGGATTCCCGGGTGCCGAAGATACTGCGAAAGTATGCGAGGAGTTGGCTTTCGAAAATGGATCCTTGGTGCGAATGCAGTGATGTAGGTGTTCCAAAGCGAGAAACCCAGGTATCGATGGATGCGCGGGTAACAGTCGCTGCATCTTGTTGCCGCAGGGATACAGCCTCGCATCATTTCTTACTGTAGTCCACCATCACGAAGAAGTAACGATTTACACGTTTTGTCGCCGTGATAGTTCCCATGATGTATATGCCCACATGCTGGTTTTGCGCTTCTGTATACATTGGGGTAAGCGCGGCTCGCGCTGCTTGAGGGGGCTATTTTATTCGGGTGCATGTATCATAAGTACGACAAAACTCAAAAATATCCCGGTGCATCACAGGCCACCAAAGCGCTGTTGGATAGAGCTCTCTGTTTTTCGTTCTCAAGCATGACCTAGTTGATCGTGCACTTGGACTATTACCTCATGTATTTTAGCCCGTGGTAATACAGGGCAAGCCAGTGACGAGGGTTCTACTAGGTACAAGACATCGTCTACCAGACGACGGTGCCCCCACTTGGTGCAAAGGCAACGTGTCACTTGGGATCGGTCCTGTAGCTGCTTAGCAGATGGCTTATTATTACCAAGTTCGATATCCGAATCTACCTTCTGTAAGACTGCCCGGTCTCCTTCTACGGCAATACTGAGTAAGGCAGTGACGCTTGAGGGGCTAGGCAGGCGACAGAGAGCATCTGCATTCCCATGTTGCCGTTTAGTGCAATATTCGCAAGGGAAATCATATTCCTGCAGACGTGTCTGCAGCGTGCCACTTGTCCCTCGGGTTCACGAAATGACTGTGGCCATTGAAGGGCACGATGGCCTGTGCGAACTCGAAAATGGCGCCCGAGGGGGTAATGTCGCAAGTGTTGTAGAAATTTAATGAGGGCCAGCATCTCTTTTCACGCAGTAGATTAGCGTGTCTCACAGTTATCAAGTTTGCGACTAGCACAGGCGATTACGCGTTCACTCGCATCTGCTTCGACCTGGGTAAGAACTGCCCCGATGGCATGGACACTTGCATCGGTATCCAAGATGAAGCATCCAGCAGATGGTGATGTATCCGGAAGAGCAAGGACAGATGTTGAAGAGAGTCGCGCCTTCCATTCGTCGGTCACGTGCTGGCATTCCACGGTTCATAAGAACTTCCGCCCGCTCTCAATTAACCGGTGAAACGGTGCAGCCAGCGTGGCGAAGTTTGGAACAAATCGGCGGTAGTAGGATGCCAAAGTGAGGAAGCTGCGAATATCATTAGAAGAGTGGGGCTGTGACCAATCCATGATAAGGTGTGTTTTTTCTGCATAAGTCTATACACCTCTGAGCGCTATGCAGTGGCCTAAGAAGGTAACTTCACTTCGGAGAATGTGGCACTTAGATATCTTGAATTTCAAGTTGCGTCGCTTTAAGCATCGGAGGACTGCCTGCAAGTTGGTAAGATGATCCTCTGGTGACTTCCCGTGGACACTTATGTCGCTCAGCTATATTAAACACTTTTGGGTGACCGACTCACTAAGTACATTCTGCATCGAACATTGAAACGTGGTGGAGGCATTGCTTAGTCGAAAAGGCATAGTTTGAAATTAATACCATCCTGTAGGCATAAGAAGGCAGTTTTCCGACGGTCTGTTGGTCTTATCTCAACCTGTCTATACCCTAAAGCTAGTTCTAACTTTGAGAACAACCGTGCTCTACTTAAATCATGCAGGGTCGTATCGATTCGAGGCAGCGGAAAGGAGTCCCGTTTCGTAATAGCGTTTTATTGGCGGTAATCGAAGCACACGCGGACAGACCCACCTATTTTTCTCACCAGAAAGATAGGTGATACCCATAGGGAGGGTGGGGGCATTGTACTTTTTTTCTGCAACATATCAAGGATCATGGCATTTAACTGCTTTTGGTAGTGGATGGTGATTCGTCGCGGTGGTTG